TCGGGTTCATAAAAGAAACAAATATTTTTGTTTCCTAATAATTTTTTTATATTTTTTTTGGGGAAAATTAAATATTTTGGGAACCACATCTTTATACATTTAATTAAAGGTATTGGCCTAATATCTTCCTTACGCGTAACCGATTCCCGAACTGAAAATATAATTTTCGCAAATCATGTCTTATTTTATGGTTTTTCATAGTTTGTCCATAATAAATTATGGTGATGACTCCCAAAATCCTTTCTCAAACCCTTTGTTTTCGCCTTGCCCTCCCGTCGCGATTTTACTTACGACATTTATTTAAAAAATATATATAGATATTTTCAAATTAATAAGTATTTGTAATTATTAATAAATATTTAAAAGAAAATATTTTATAAAATTTTAAAATAAAATATAATAAAAATTAAAGTTTAATATAATTAAATTTAATTTAATAAATTATTTTTAATTTTAATTAAATTTAATTTAATAAAATATAAATTAAATTTTAATTTTAATTTATTTACAATTAACAAATACTGTAAATATAATAATCACGTTTAAATAGTTTATTAATGAATATTAAAATATTTATTACTAGTAAATAATAAATATTATATATTAATTATCTCCTCTGGGATATTTTTGTCCTCTAAGCTTATCATTCATTTTCTTTCTTCGAACTCCACCCCATTCTCATGTTTCACTTTGTTATTGTCGCAAATATTTCTTTCTCCTATTACGTGTAAGGTTTTCTTCTCCCTCATTCTAAACACAGCCCAAACGTTGTCGCTTTCCATGCTTGGCCAAAAATCTCTCCAACATTGCCAACGTTGTTCTGACAGCGATCATAGAGCATTCACGGTGCCGCCACTAAGCTCTGCTCACGCGCCATCGTAGCTTCTCCTTGTAGCACAAACCCCATCATTAAAGCATATGAATGTATTGGGACAAAGTTGTGTTACTTTATTGCCTCAAAACAAGCTATTATAAAGTCAAACACAATACATAAGAGACGAGTCCACATGTGTATAATTAGTTTATTTCAGTAAGAACAAACATGTTCATATGAGATTATGAAATTTTATGGCTTTAGTCATTAAATATGTAAGTTATTCTTAAGTTCACGTTACTCTAACTCAATTTCTTTATTCTTTGCAATATTCCTTAGAAAACATGAGACAGTACTATGATAGATTTACTTCGTAGATGTATGATTATATTTTTTCTTATTATATCATTTTATTCTTATATTATTATTATTTCATTCAAATATTTTATTCTATATGTCATTTTTTTTCACATGTTATATTTTTAGTTTAATTGCTTATTTTGTCTTCAATTTCGTTTAAATATGTTAAGTGTTGGTCCATTCTTTTAGAAAAATGTTAATTGTATCTCCATTTGATAAAATTTATCTCAACTAAATCCCTTATGATAACTTTTTTATTTTCTCCGACAGACCTTTTTACTTCTTTTAATTAATGCTATCTTTTTATCCTTTTGCAATAAAAAAAAATGTGTGTGAAAGAAAATAATCTTTATTAATGAAAGGGTCACCTCCTTATTAAATGATTCTCTTTTCCCTTCCATGTGTGAATAGAGATGAAAAAAGATGAAGAAATCTGGTGCAAGTTGAAGTTGAGCAGTGTTTTAGGTGCAAAAGAGTGACTATTAATCGATTATAGAGGGCTATTTATAGAAAGGATTCGAAAACTAGTTGTTTATGGCCGTTTATAACCATTTATAGTTGTTGTAACGACTCTATTTTGGGCTCTGCACGCTTGATAATCGATTATTGTAAGTGATAATCAATTATCTGTTCATTAGATAATTTTCAGAAATTGCATGATAATCGATTATTTGTTCATAAATGCCCAATTTTGGGTTTGAGTCAAGATAATCGATTATTCCATAGGATAATCGATTATTTGCGATTATGAGGCTTTTTTCAAAAGCCAAGAATAATGGATTATCTGTTCAGATAATCGATTAAATACGCTGAAGTTACGAAAAATCCAAAAATTGTAGAATTATTAATTCTAAGACATATCTAACACTCCTAACTCTCGTCTGAGTTCATAGAATCTATCCTTAAGCAATGCTTTTGTAAATATGTCTGCTAATTGATGCAAGGTATCAATGTATTCTATTTGGCAGTCTCCCTTTTGAATATGGTCTCTTAAGAAATGATGTCTAATCTCAATATGCTTAGTTCTGGAGTGCATTATAGGGTTCTTGGTTAGGTTTATAGCACTAGTGTTGTCACATTTCAGAGGAATGTGATCAAGGAAGATATCAAAATCCTCCAATTGTTGTTTCATCCAGAGAATTTGGGCACAACAATTGCCAACAATGTATTCAGCTTCAGTGGTAGACAAGGCTACACACACTTATTTCTTTGAGTGCCATGAAACTAAAGAACAACCCAGAAAATGACAAGTTCCACTAGTACTTTTCCTATCAATTTTACAACCACCATAATCCGCATCAGAATATCCTATTAAGGTAGGTGTAGCATCAGAGAGGTACCAAAGTCCAAATGAGGGGTCCCTTTAAGGTATTTCAAAATCCTTTTGACAGTTGTTAAATGAGATTCCTTAGGATTTGCTTGGTATCTAGCACACACACACATACATTTTTCATAATGTCCGGTCTACTAGCAGTTAGATATAGTAGAGATCCTATCATTCCTTTAAACATAGTTTGATTTACTTCTTCACCAGATTTATCCCTTTCTAAGTAGCAAGAAGTTGCCATAGCGGTATTGGCTTCCTTACAAGTATCCATTCCAAACTTCTTAAGCACTTCTCTACAATATTTAGTTTGGGAGACAAAAGTTCTCTCATCCATTTGCTTTATTTGTAGTCCTAAGAAGAAATTAAGCTCACCCATCATAGACATCTCAAACTCACCTTGCATTATATTTCCAAATACAATGACTCATCTGTAGATCCAAAGATAATATCATATACATACACTTGAACAATCAAATGTGTTTTCCTACTTTCTTAATAAATAAGGTTGAATAAACCTTTTCTCGAGAAAAATCATTTCCAATCAAGAAGGTACTAAGTCTTTCATACCAAGACCTAGGTGCTTGTTTAAGGCCATAAAATGCCTTTTTCAGTTTATACACATGATCAGGAAATTTGAGATCTTCAAATCCAGGAGGTTGACTAACATATACCTCCTCTTTTATAAAACCATTCAAAAATGAACTTTTTACATCCATTTGATATAGTTTAAATTTCATCAAAGATGCATAAGCAAGTAAAAGTCTAATTGCTACTAACCTGGCTATTGGGGCCTAAGTTTCATCATAATCTATACCTTCCTCTTGACAGTATCCTTTTGCAACTAGTCTTGCTTTATTATTTGTGATGTTTCCATCTTCATCAAGATTGTTTCTGAAAACCCATTTTGTTCCTATGACTTGATATTCTTCTTTTCTAGGAATGAGTTCACAAACGTTATTCCGTTCAAATTGATTTAGCTCTTCTTGCATAACAATGCACGACTTATCATCTTGAAGAGCTTCTTTTATGTTCTTGGGTTCTATCTCAGACACAAAAGCTACATTTAGGCAAAATTTACATAGCACCATGTTCTTCAAAAAATTTTTCAAATGATTCATTTTCAAATTCCCCACCGTGATCACTTCTCAATGTTTTGATTTTCAAATCCTTTTCATTTTGAACACGTTTTGCAAATGATTTGAATGCTTTAAAAGTTTTACTTTTCACGGTTAAAAAGAATGTCCAAGTAAACCTAGTGTAATCATCAACAATCACAAGAGCATAGTAGTTTCTAGCAAAACTTTTAATTCTAGATGGACCGAA